CAGAGCACTGTTCTTCAGGACTCCCCAATGCTCATTACTCCCCATATTCTACTAGTGGAGTAATGAGCATTGGGGAGTCCTGAAGAACAGTGCTCTGGAAACAATGCAATAGATAAATCAAATTCCCTAAATTTTTAAAAGCAAACTGACTCTGATTTATTCAATTTGATGATCGGCAAGGACAGGCAGAATGCTCCTTACTACACCCAGTTCCCAGTCACTGGGGTGGTGAACAGAGGCTTTTCCTCCAGATTGTTAGAGTGTGTTCCTCCACTCTTGGAAAAGAGGGCGAAGTAGGGGGCCCTCCTACCTGGGTTCCTGGATGTTTTTTCCAGATGTCGGTAGGAGTGACACTAGCTTCTGTGGGAGCCTATTCATAATACAGGTTCAGATTGGACATTACACTATCCAGTTAGGGTGTGCATGGCCCTTCTTTTTGATCAATGTCAGTTTAGTATAGTGTTCATGGAAGGAAGTCCACTATCTCCTCATAATTCCAAATGCGAAGTGTTCCCATCTTAGGTCCTTGATTGAGCACAGTGTTCCACACCCTCTCCATAATTCAGGGGGCAAGTTGGGGAGTGAGGATGAATGTTCATAATTCCAGACCAGATGAGTTCTGTTTCTTTGGTTGATTAAGGCATACATGATCCTATCATTCTGAACCTGGGGTGGTGCCTTTCATACTTCTTCAGTGTTGCTTCCTTTCTCATCATTATTCTGGTGGTTTGGTACAGATCACTCTATGGGTACAGGTTGGGATCCAATCACAAGTATGTCTGTATGTATAACATTGCAGTCCAATTGCACTAGCCACCAACTTGAGATATAGGGACCAAGATCCCTTATTCCAACCCCAAGTTGTGGAACCTCAGTTATCTGTTTGGGGCTGGCCTATAATGATTACTCGTGTACTATTCCACCCTTGATACAGGTTCTAACTTCTGGGTGAAGTGCATACCTGTTCTGGTGTAGTGCAGTTCTCCCACTTGGGTACCACTCTTATTTTGATACACCCCTGTTCTATGCAGATGCTTTCTGTATAGATAATGCCTGCACTGACCCCTTCACCTTTTCAATATAGGATTCTAGCTATAAGTTGCATTGGAGGTAATTATGTTTTGGAAGTTAACATTTTCCTAAACTGAAAATGTATATCTCCAATAATACTTACCTCTGCTGACACCCTCCCTCCCTACTAAGAGCTGGTATTAATGACTGGGATGGCGTAAGTCTTGAAAAGTGATTACATTATCTGAATGAGGTGCTTATATACAATACCAGGATACAGGGCACATTGACATGGGTGGAGATATTTGCAAATTAGATATTGCCAAGAGCATTTAAGTAGAGTATAAAAGACTGAAGCATGCAAGACGAATGTTTACATACGCAAAGTCAGTGTCGTGGAATAGCTATAAGTGTCAGTGGAGGTAAGTATTACTGGAAATACATTTTCAGTTTAGGAAAATGTTAACTTTCCATCTTATAGTTTTCATATTTCATTTGCATAACCACTAGAACCTTCTAAATGAATATCAAAAGTTTTTTTTATAATAAAAGTTTATATTTTATTTTTCACTTTCTCTATGATATTACTAGCTTTAGCTATAATCATCAACTTGTACTATAATATATCACAATGAAATGTTTAAAATTAAGACACAGGAAAAATGTACATACCTTTTAATATTTCTTTAAATAATCTTAAAACATCTTCTTTTGGTTATAGTATTAATTGTATGTATTTACATTTTCTCACATAGTTAATTTTAATGTTTTATTTTCCTTTCCTGTCGTTTAACGTTGTTATTATCTATCATGACGTACATCAATGGGTGTCCCCAACCAATATTACAGTATTATGGGCAGAGAAACTTTAATTGTTTGTAGAATGTGGTTGCACTCACGTATTATGCTAATTCTTGTGAACCAAGTAAGCATTGGGTTATATCAAAAAATTATTAAACCTTTCAAGTATGCATCTTAAAATATAAAAGTAAAACCTAAATACAATTCAACTGTTTACATAACTAACATATTTCTAGGTGAGAAACAATGCTAAAGTGCTAGTGAGGACAAAAGCAGCAACAATACTGAGAGTGGTTTGGAATTTTCCATACCAATTTTAAAATAACTATTGGGAGATCGTATTTTACAGTGTGCTTTTTCTATTGGTTATAAACATCAAGCTCAACTAAGTATAATTGGCTGAGAAATCACAACTCTTATTTGTAGAAAGTGGGCAGGACCTCTGTTAAGAGTTCCAACAAATTTATTTCTCCAAGTATGCACTAAGGAGCATGATAGAAGAATGTGTAAACAGAGCAATTAACCTAGTTTCTGTCTATAAATGGAAGTATAGTGTATGTAAAGAAGTATTCAAGTTAATTGAGGAAATTTAAGATTTTATGAACTTGTGCATCATGTGACAACAAAACTGAAGCTTAAGAATTTTTCTTTAAGGTTTATTTTGAAATAAAGGAATTAAAACTTAGAAAATATAAATCTTTGAATTATAATGTAAATTTTAATGCTAATTTCTTGTGACATGCACAGAAAAGTATGTCTGTAAATATAGGGTTAAAGGGTGCCAATTTCCTTTTTATTTATATGTTATGACTAATAGAGATTACTTGAACATTGGAAATGCTTGACTACCAGTGTCTCTTATGCAATTTAATCTAAACAGTATATTATACATTAACTTGTTTGTTTTTCTACTGTATTTTTGTAGATCTATACATCACACAGTGGATTTCAACAAAGCAACAGAATGAAATATGTCGACTATTTGTATATAACTCATCCATGTCTTTTTGTACATCCTGTTGAAGGACTGTCATGAAGACAAGAAAAGGAAGTCGACAGGGAATGCTATCAAAGCTTGTACCAATAGCAAAGAAGACAGTTATTAAAGTTGATGATGAGATAGAAATTCTTATAAGAGAAGTTACAGAAGAACTTAAAGAAACAGAAGAATTTCGGGAGCTGTTTGCACAAATGGAGTGTTCAGAGAGTGAAGATATAAGCATGTTGAAAGAGTCTGATAACAGAGAAAATGCATGTTCTTCAGACCTTGTATCTAAAGAATGTTTAGATGGGAATAGTGTGAAACTTTGTAAAAATATATTACAAAATGATGAATATTTTGAAGGTCATTCATTTCAGGTTGTCCAGAATGACCATCCCTATTCAGTGACAAAATCTAACTTAGTGGGTAATAATAATAGAAATAAAATAAAAGACACGTACAGTTCCCTTAGTTTCTCACAAATAGACACAAAAAGAACTTCAGGCAAGCCAGAAATCATAGTTTTGTCACAAGATATTTGTGGCATAGAGGCAGAAAGTGAACTATCTGTTGCTTCATGTATAGGTAATGATGACTGCTTAGAAGAAACAAATGAAAATGAAGATCAAAAAAGCAACTTGATTTATGAAAATGTTAAAGGTTCAGATATACCAGTTGTAGTAAAAAGAATTAAAGAAAATAGTTTATCTTTGGAACCTGGTGTAAGAAAAGCAGAGAATTTAATCATTTCTTCTTCTAAAAGGAATGAAGTTATATCCAGAAAAAATGTCATTAAAAGTGAGAAAAAGTACAGTTCTCAAGCACAAAATTATCATATTTCCTCAATGGATAGAGTAAAGAAAGAGAAAGTAGAAGGTGATGTAAATGAACTGCATAATAATATATCATCTAGTGATAACATGGGAAAAGAAAGTATCTGCTCCTCTGTGAATAATAACAGTTCTGTTAATTTGTTAAATAATGGTGATGTATTATTGGAAGGAGTAGTTTCTAAAATACAAAAGAAATTAGCTGAAGAAAATGATGATTTTTCATTCAAACAATCTATGTCATGTGTGGGAAATACATGTGATGAAAAGTTTTCAGTAAGTATGCTTAGAAAGAACTTACAAAATAAGATATCTAGCTGTCAGACACCAGATTTTTCTGAAGGAGATTGTTCAACTGTTTCCTCCTCAATTCCCATTCAAAATCATGTGAAAACTGAGTCGGAAAGTTCTTATTTATTAGATGATAGTTCATCTGGGTGTTCTGATGCATCTCAGCTTGCAGATGTTAAGTCGTTTAGGAAAAGGAGCAAAGGAAGTGAACTTGAAAAACTCTATGAATCTCTTCGAGAAATTCCTTGGGCTCAAGACTGGAGTCCCACTGGTATTGTTATGAAACGTAGCATCATTCGTAGATCAGGAAGGCTATCTGGTACTGATCTGAAAGCACATAGTAGGTGTTCTACCCCTGCAGGTAGCTCATTGTTCAGACGGGTTCAGCCATCAAGACAGAAGATAATTCAGAGTGGTGGTAGAAATCAGAAAAAGCAGCACGTCTTGAAACATAAAAGCACTAAGTCATTCTGTAGAGACTGCCACCTATGTACAATTTCTCATCATAAACATCCAACATCTTTCTTGAACAAAAATAAGTCCAGTTTTATGAAAGTCCTAACACCTGTCAAACAAAAAGTGTGTAAAAATCAAACAACATTTGACAGGAAGAATGAAATAAAAGTATTCAATAAGAAAAAAAAGAAACCAAAAAAAGAAAAAAAGCTAGAAGAAATAAAAAATGCTGCAAATATTTCTGTTTCTAAAGTATCGGAATTGAAAAATATAAAAGATTTTTCTGGCAAAAATATGACAAAGTGTTTGAAGCAAAAACTCACTAGAGAAAGTAAAGAGAAAGTTCCTGAGAAAAAAATCATAAATGAAACAACATTAGGTAATGCTCAGAAAGAAAAGTGTTACAATGATCAGACATTGAATAATATGAAGAGTTCCAGTAATAAAACATATAGAACAGATACTTCTCTTCATAAGAAACTTAGTATTAAGCCTACAAGCCTTAAAAGCAGTGAGAGTGGTTCCAAGCACAGAAAGAAGAAAAATATTTCTAGATTGAAGCAAAAGAAAGATGACCGAAATACACTAACAGAAGTAGCCAAGGAGAAAGGGTCACTGCTCAGAGTTGCTCTACATCCTCTGGACAGAGTTCATTTATGTGCAAACCAAGATGGAGGAGAGGGACCCAGCAGTTTCCTCAAAAACCTGTATGTGTCACAACAAGGTAAAATGCCTTACGTACAGCATTTATACTTGATAGGCATTTTTAATGAACTGCATTTATCTATGAAGTTTTGGACAACATTTCAATCTGCTAGCACAGATCCTTGTCAGCTCTAAACAAAGTCCAAAACTTCCTAGAGAGATGCAGTTTATTAAAAAACATCTTTTGAGTATGCTTTCCTGTATATAAGCCTTCTTTCAAATTTTGTATGTATAAATGATATAGATCAAATACTTTCTTTTTTCAAAAATTTACCATAAGGTTTTTTATTATGTTTTCTATAAGAGGGAGAAATTTTACTATTGTGTATGTACAGTGCCCAGGTATACTTTAGACTAAAGAGGGTTTCATTTGACATGAAAAGAGAAAATGATGCTCAGAGGCATTTTGTACAGGCCTTCTGATAAGGATGTTAATAAGCAGAATTAAATGTGCTGCTAATTGAATCGGGTGTACTGTTCATGTACATGCATTGAGTTTATGAAAACTGAGGTTTTTTTATTTATGAGGATGAATACAGTATATGTAGTAAAAATGATATTTTAGACCTTGTTTTTGGTATTGAGAAGGATGTGGTTAAAATGCTATACAACAACACATAAACACTAGTTAAAGACTGGGAGAGTTCAAGAGATAGCGTGTTGAGTAGTTGGGGAAGCTGGGTTGTATATAGGCTGATGATGTTTGATGAAATTAATGCAACAGCCAAGATGGACCAAGGGGCCCTTTTTTTACCTCAATTGTTATTGGTTGGAGTTGAACCCAAAACACACACAAAGCAAGTACACTACCAACTGAGCTAAAGGTTGAGCCCACTAGCAATTGCTAGTAAAGCACTTTTCAATGATTCAAACACTACACAGTAATGGTATTACCATTTTAATGTTTATATGGACACCAGTTTTACAATTAATACATTTAGTTTTCCCATTTTCAAAAATTTCACTTTCAGAAATTGTTATAAATTAAAAGAGAGGAAGAGTGGGGTAATGTATATAAAGATTGGAAACTAATAATTTGATTAAATTAGCTAAAATTGATAATATTTCTTCCAAGTTCTTTGGATTTAGAGAGAAAGTCCATTCCTACAGTTTAATACATGAGTAATTGCTTTAGTAATAAATGATTTGAACTAGGGGAAACTGAAATATTTCCAATGCAGAGCACCAAAATCAGACAATTGAATTCAGCATGTAGTGGGAAAAAATAGTTCCAAAGTCTGTTTTAAACATAAAGAAAGCATCATTTCCCTGAAAAATTAAAAACCACTACTTTAATTTCTAATATACTATTGTAGTATTTTGCATTTTTTGTAAAATATTTTTCCCTGAACATATTATTATTATTATACAATTTTTCATCTTGTTCATGCTCATTTATGTATTTGTGATCTAAATATAAATTCTGCTAGTCCTTTTGTACTTTATTTTGATTTTACACCTATATCTTGGCATTAATGTGTTATGAAAGGACTAACTATTCAGGGATGTTTTTTGTAGTCTGTTGTATTAGCAATTATATGTGTAGTATTGTCTGCAAAATGTAGATCACATTATTGCTCTCTATGCTATGAAAGCAAAAAAAGCTTACTATTCTTTGACTAAGAGTCAATACTTTTAAGTCACAAACAGCATATAAATGCAAATAAATAGATATTGAATGGAATAAGTATATTCTGCTGTCATGAAACTAATTGGTATCAATCTAAAAAAAAAATGTATGCTATATTACCTTTTAATTTATACCAGTGTGCTACAGTTAGTGCTTGAAATTACTATGGAATTTGGAAAAACTTGTTTAATTGGAAAAACAACAATTAATCCGTTCGATACAAAATATGTACTATTTTTCAGCCTGTCATTTTAAGTTTGTCATAGGTGTTTACACTGAGGTATGTATTATCTAAATCTTTGTACATGTTGATTTTTGCAAGTTTTTTTACTTATACTTATCTTTGAACTATTAATTCAGTTTCATGAAAAAATAATAATACATTGTCTGGTGGTAAGTTTGGTTAGATTTTTAGTGTTATTAAAATTGGTTGTCACTGCATTCATTTTATCAGTATTGGGAAATACAAAATCATTTGACCAATAGTAATAATTTTTGGGCCAATTACCATGTGTTATGCTGATCAAACTTACTTAACTTCCATATTCAGGGGTGTTGAATTTTGGAAGAAACTTCTTGTCCAACGACATAAATTGTTAGAATAATCTACTTATCCTTCTTAAAAATCTACTTGTCCCTTCTTCATCCCATAAAGCACACACACATAAACAGTAGAATGTAACTTTTTTTTTGCTTTTATATATATATATGTGTGCAAACCATTATATATTCAATTTTGTCATTATCAGAAAATCATTTCTTTTGCAGCTTTTACAAAACATGCTAAGAAATTAAAACTGGGCTATTTGTTAAATAAGACCATTAGAAGATATTACACAAAAACCTAAAAAAATCTAACTTTATTATTCATGTATATCAAATTTTACAACACCTATTATTTTGGACAAAAAACATTACATATCCATAGGCTTTTATAGTCAAAATGCTGCATATCCATTGATGCAATGCCTTTGGCAGGCCCATTAGTTAGCATGCTGGATTGTGGATATGCAGGTCCATTGTTCATGTCTTGCTACCCCCCTTCCCCTAAAAAAAAATAATCTTGCTCTACACTTCAGCCAGGGCAGAGTAACCCAAGAGCTGGTAATAGGTACTTTTGACTAGTTGCTTTTTCTATATTCTATCAGTGTAGATAGACTTGAGTAGCTTTGTGCAAATATTCATAAATGAACTAACAAGCCACTGGCAGCTCAATTTTTTTTTTATAAATAGCATTTACCATGTTTTTTATCTAAGCTTTTCATGCATTTTATGGTTTTTAACATTTAGTCATTAGGCCTATATAACACAGCATATCCAATACCCCATGTACAAACGGATAAAGAATTCATGGTGGTTTATATTAAAGCTGCCACAAACTAAACTCATGTTTAATATATTGTTGTAAGCTATATTTTAAATATTGTAATTTGTTAGCTAGATGGTGTAGAATGCCTAGAAAGTTCTAATCATTTGATTTATTTTTTTTTCTAGTATATTAAAAGCCAGATTATAAATGTGGGATAGTTGTGATGTGTTTAGAATTTTCCAAGATAGAAAGTTCAATTAGACAGTATGTTAGCTATCACATTTGCTTTGTACAGGTAAGTTTATTTGTTTACCATTTATTAATGTCGTTTCTGATATAGGCCTAAAGCAATTTACAGAAGTGTATAAGCATTCAAGCTTGTAGAAATGTTAAAGGAGGAAATAAAGTAATTTATAATTGTTGCATGAACTGGTCTTTGAATTATTTTCACCAGATGATTTAAAAGAATATACCAATTAAAGAACTATGTTACAATGCTTTGTGGAATATTATTTTGGTGAAAAATAGAACAGAACTTTGACTAAACTTCAACTATTGAAGATGACAACCATGAGGTTAAATGGTAAGAGCAAAGTGTTACTTGAGATGATGAAATTGTTAAGACAAGATCAGAATGAAACAGAGAGAAAATTAGAAGAAAGAGACTTACTACTTAAAGAATTAAAAATAACTGATTGAAGATGAGATTGGTGAAACTAACGGTGACGTACAGAGATTACTACAAAATTGAAGAAATATGGAAAGGCTGTAATGATAAAATCAATGTGATAGAAAAGAACGTCAGTTAGAGAATAAAACATCTGGAAAATGAATTATTAAATGCAAAGATTAAGACTGCCATACCTCTTTCTTAATCAATTCAAGAGTTCCAGTGTGGAATGCCATCAACTACAAGATATGGAATAGGAGAAGTTACTTGGTTTACACCCATGACCACTATTGCTGTGCCATCTGTTACTGAAGGACCTTCCTAGACTGCTTCAGCCATGAAATCACCAAATCCTGTTCCAGAGTTTATCTGGCCATTTTAACATTGGCCAATCGACAAACCAATAGACTATGATGGGAAGGTATTGTGGGAGTCATACTAAGCTGAGCTTGAAATAATTTTCAGAGTGAATGTGTGTAATAGTGTACAATGAGCAATCCATCTTGCTCTTCAGCTTTGACAACATTAAATAACTTTCCAGTTAAGAGGTGCAACAATTAACAAGCATTGGTGGCTGCCTTCTTCCAATACAATTACTTACAATTTTTGCTTGCCACTAGCCTTGAAACTCCCACCTAATTCCATATTTATACCATATTGTTCAGCTGCATTTAAGCATGCAACAGTCCTGCACCAATAGTAGTGCGACAAACATTCCTATTGCAGCTGACTCACTCTATACAGTTAAACCGAATCTTCACTTTTCAATATGACATGACATTGTTAAGATCTAGTGCTTGATTTCAAACATTTTCTTTTCTTCAGTGCATTTTGAACACATTCAAGGTATTATTTATAATCCACTATTGAGCTGCATTTCTTTATTTGGTTGTGAATTATATTTCTCACTCAGTTGTTGGTAGTCAATCAATATTTTTAAATTCACAATTTACTATAATGACCACAATGGCTACCGACAGTACCAGCATTCAACAGTTTGTGACAACAACTGCAGGTGTGGTGTTATCAGCAGAGAAAGTGTCGGCCATAGTTCATAGGGAGATGACTTTTTTCATACAGGCCAAGGGATCTCTCGATCTATAAGCAGTTCTGCTTGATGACTTAGATCAGGATGATGCAGACTTGGACAACTTTCCCTCCCTCTTCCTTTACTGTGCAGGAATGTTCTCAGCCTGTTGAAGCACCTAGACCTCAGTCACCATTTTGTATACTTAATATCACAGGCATGTTGTGTTTTGTCTTTGTAACCTGTGTCATTTATCCCTCTTCTTCCTTATTGGCTGCAACTCCTAGTTCTGAGTTTTTGATTTTCCCAACTTTGCCTGATATTGGGGTTCATGCCAAACATTTTACCTGACACCCATGTACTACAGAGGCTCATGCACTTGC